CAGGAGAGACAGATGCAAAAATCATTTGTCAGATGAATATCAAAATGATTCAAGTAATAGTGATGGACAAATATTTATTAGCTTTTATTACAACTCAACCTTGGAAGACACAAAAACAGAAACTTGCAGAATTAACCCTTAGCTTCATGGGGTTCCTATAGATTGCAGGATCGCCCCTAATTAATTTCTCACATCTTAGCTAGGATAATTCAGGTTAAAATTGTTTAGCAAGAGAATTCATGAAATTTTTTGCTTGTGTTAGCCTTTTTATAAAGAATGAATTCAGCGCGCACTTTAATAAATAGCTTAAACTCTTAAACTAGATAATTATTAAATCCCAAAATTACAGTAATTAAAATTAACTCAGACTGAACTAAAGAATAACATCACCAATACAATCATCCATGAATTGAATAAACCAGAAACTAGAAGCAAAATAAAAGGGAAAACGTACAATCCGAGAGAACTGATTCTGGAAGTCTCGTTTCCACCGATGAAGCTGAGGGGGGTAGGACTAGCTGGAGTGACAGCAAGGCGGCGGGCCTTGATGAGCTGATCGCGGTGGGCCATAGCGGCGTAGTAATCAAGCGAACCCTTCTCCGGCAACCCATCAAGGTTCAAAAAATCCTTGACAGAATCCGAATATCTGTGGTGTATATCGAACCCAAAAGTCCCAAATCCTTCACTCCTCAAAGCACTCGAAAGACCCACTAAAATCAAAAGACAAATATACTTAGAATCCATGTTTGAGCCAATTAATGTTCAAACTAATTTGATGAACTATTACAATAGTTAGACCTATGACTATATATACACACACATGTATGAACTTGTATATGCAGACATATAGAGAGAGAAAAGAGTAAAAATAGAGGTGGGTAGGGGTGTTGACGAGTTCTCATACAGCGTTAGAAGAAGAATTTCACCATTAGCGGCAGTCAACGAGGACGGTGAGCCGACTGTACAAGCAATCAACCAGAAGTCATCGCCTCTATGTGTAATGTGTGTACTACGTGTCCTCGTATGTATCATTCGTGTCTAATAGGAGTCGGAGTTTGTTTTCCAATGAAATAACTGTAATTCAGTTAATTTTGTCGTAACATGGTACTATTAGTCTTAAATCTATTATTTTAACGGCAAATCAATTTTGTACGTTAATAAAAGATCATGGAAACTCCCGAAATCAGAGGGTCGAACAGAAAACTTTTATTGAACAGGGGTTGATGTGTGCAAGCATGTACAATCGAAAGTAACGGGTACTTGTAGTGGCAATAGCAAATGGTCTTCAACGTACTATGGATGAAAAATAGCAATTTTCTCTTTTAGAAAAGAGTGAATAGCATCGTAAAAAGTTTTGAGATTAGAGGATAAAAAAGAATACTTTTATTAAATGATCGATATGTACAAAAATATCGAGTTGAACGAGACATGTACTAGTAGCGGCAATGACAACAGAGTCCCCGATATTAATGAAGGATGACAAAATATATGACGGATGAAGAGAATTATTCAACAATCGTGAGTCAGTGGTCATGCGCGTAAAACATTAGGTTCTTATCTGCTATATTAGTCAATTGACTTTCGATTCCCATAACAAAGTTTTTCTTTGGTACTTATACCTTTCATACTTTTTGACTTTCACGATCGGGCTCCAGTTATAAATTTGTGGTGGTAAAAGTAGCCTTTATATTAATGTTGTGAAAATTATATGTCACCTCTAAAGTATTTTAAATATATAACAAACTAATTATTTTTATGTCTACGTCCATTTAAGGTAATATTTAATATGTAATAATCAAACCTAAATTAATATCTAAAATATAGAGAGAAGTAATTATCGTTAGGTCATCTACAGCTTGCTTGGTAGGGATTTTGATAATTGATTTTTGACCATTAGAAATAAAATGGGTCCTACTTGTGAGAGAAGTATTCAAAAATGACAGTTGAAATAGTGATATAACAGTCAAAAAATTGATTTCAATTAAGTGGATACTGGGCCAGGGCTCCTTTCCCTTTGGAACTTATTCCCATTAGAATTTCGAGTTTTCATTTTCCATTTATTCCTTTGAAATATAAAATAGACCAGTTTTGTTTAAGGACATCAACGTCTTCTAGTACGTGTTGTACAACAATAAAGTAAATGCATAAATTTAATTGTAATCACTCAATTTTTAGTCAAGTTTCAATTGAGTTATAAAACTTTGATTTATTTCAATTAGATCATTGAACTTTGATTTGTTTTGAGTTACACCATTCTATCACACATCATCATTTGCATTACCAAAACTGGAGGAAATTAGTGGACATGTAATCTCTATGTACTCTAAAAACAAATATAGTAAAATGAAGTTTTTACTATTATCGTTAGGTTAAAAGCTTAAAAAGTTGGAATATAATCGTTAAAAGTCAAATTTGCCAAGGAGAGTGACATATTGTTTTCATATTATTACAAATGCCCCGGCATTTGTAGTTATTTTTTTATTGCACTACATTTTAATGAATTGAAGGTCGTCAATTTTTTTCATTGTAGCGATTATATTCCAACTTTTTAAGTCACATTCTTATCCTCAATTTTATATTAATTACTACACCTTAATCTTGATTACTTTTTGTGTAAATATTCTAATATCATTCTTTAAAATAAGGGCAACCTTTGTCAAACTTTTTTATTTTACTTAGGATCTATTTGGGAGTGATTTTGAGAATTGATTTTTTGACTGTTAAGAGAAAAGTGTGATCCACTTGTGAGAGAAGAAGCCAAATATGAAGGCTAAAATAGTAAAATAAAGGTCAAAAAATTAATTTTTTTTGGAAAAAATCACTCCCAAATAGGCTCTTAATAATATGAAGAGCAAATAAGTCTTTTTACGTTCATCTCACGTATTTGAATGGAAATCTTCATTAGGAAAAATATGTGCTATTAATGAAAGATTTTGATAATAAAAATGCGAAGAAAAAAATTTGAAAACATAAGTGCGATAATAAATAAAAATTAAAAATTTTAAAACAATTAAAATATGATGTAATAAATGTACTTCTCTAAATAATGATATTCCGCTTCTTATAATAATAATAATAATAATAGCTACAAGAATTCATCGATAGGAGTCATGGAAGGCACTATACATGCAGGTCTGATGTCTTCTATGAGTCAATTAATTTGAATAATTAATTGCAAGGCGTAAAAACTTCTTCGTTTACTTTGTAGGAAGTCTTATAAAACAAAATAATAAATATTAATTAAAATAAATAAATCTAAGTTCGTACTTATAAATTAAGCAAATTAAAGAAGCAGTAATCATGTAACAAAATGTCAAAGAACAGATTGGCCACGTCTCCCTACAAATTTCTTTATTTTTCTTTTGGGAGTTTGAATATTCAAAGTCAACTTTACAAAGACGCGTTTCGACGCCAATTCATGCGGGCCCCACTCCTATCATTCATTTCTCTTTTCTTTTCTTTTTGGTTTTTTATTTGTTGAGTTGTAAGAATATATTTTCACGTGGCAGAAAAAAAAAATTGTTCACAAAAATTAACAATAAGTACTCGAAATTTTAAAAAAGAAATTTATTTTTTCTTTTTCTGATAATTTAATGCTAAGATTATCAAAAAAATTCTTGATTGAACAAGTCGAATGATAATATAGCACGAGTACGGGAGATTTTTTAGTTCGAAAATCAAGTTAGTAAAGAAGATATTAGGTATTTCATCGCTACAAAAAATTTACCACTGGAAATTTGAGAAATTTGCATCATGTGTAACATTTTCTTTTAGGAAAGTTGTGAGAAAACATCTTCACTAGATATAAATTGTTTATAAGAATTAGTGATAAGTATTTGACTTCTACTATAAAGAAATTATCTAATTTAACAGGTCAAAAGTGGGGACGGCAAAATATTGTTCTAAAGTAATAAATAAACAAGCAACTGAAAAAAAATATGGTGAAAATGAAAATATTTTAATTCTCATCCTAATATAGTCATGTCCCGCTTCGTCCCATCCTGTATCCTCCCGAATCAAAAGACAATAAAACAAATGTATGGAAGAATTTTTAATAGTAGTTGTTAACCTCCCTTTTTTGGCAATGACAACTTCAACAACAGATGTCAGACTCACTCGTGTCCATGCGAGTAAATTTTGGCACGTTTAAATCAGAGATACGATCGAAAAATCACGGCAATAATGGACGTAAGAGATATTTTATGACACGAGATGAAAACGTTCAAACATCCACAACATGATCGAGGGTAATTGTTAAACCCAAGATCAATGGCAAATGACTCTATCAAAGTAAAATGAATCCAAACTCAAACATCAAGAGATGAGCAAGAGGGTAATAATTTCAAATATATAAAGTTTAGGTATATTTTTGCTTTCAACTGTTACAAGTGCTGCTATTTATAGAGTTGAGGCTAACGTGGTTACTGTTGGATCGGAACCACGTGACCTCATCACATTAATCAGAATCTCACATCGGTCTCTGTCATACATTAATTACATCAACAAGGGGTCAGTCGCCCCTACACCCTATGTTGACATTTCTAACATTCATTAATACAAACAGTACATCAAGCACTCCCAAAGATACTTTTTAGACCCGCTTTAGAGGTAGGAAGTTATTTGACATTAAGAGAGAGTTTCGGATGTGCAGAGGTTCAGTCAGTAGAGAAAGTGTTTTGACAAAGAACTTCAAAAGACCATAGTGTCTCGGTCAAGGAGCATCTTTTTCCCTTTCTTTATTTTTGATCTTGTTGACTGTCAGTTCTGCGTGGCTTTGACATGAACTCCATTGAGAGTTTTAGATACGAGGCGTAACAGTAGTAGTTATTCCTGTTGCCTAGAGAAATTTACTGCTTGAAAATTTTTGTTTTCTATAACCTTAGGAAAAGTTTAGCATGTGAAATACTTAATTATTTTTCTTGGAGTAGAATTGTAAGCGGAAAATAACACTTAAAATTCAATAACATCAATCATTATCAAGTACCTACAATTACTAAAAGATGAACATAATTCTCCAACTTGGTGAGTCCAAAATAAACATTTCCGCCACCTATAAAATTCTTAGTTTCTTACTACGTGGAATTGGTCTTGCATAATAATCTCTAAGAACTTCGTTATTTGAAATTTAAGCTTCCACAAATTTAAATAGCATTAAAGTGTTTGTTTTGTTCAAATCCTAAAGAAAGATGGCTCGGCATTATGAGGTTATTTGACAAAATTGTAAGCATAGACGGACCCACATGGAGTCATGTGGGGTCAATTGACACCACAAAAATTTATGTTTTTTTTTAATCTGTAAATTATTCAGACTTATTTCCTGTTGTCAAACCATTTTTTTTTATTTAATATTAAATTAAGCCAAACTTGGCTCAATTGCCCAAACCCATTGCCAAGCCCAATTGAATTGCCCATTACTAAAACTTGCTTTTGATTTTAATTTGCATTTGTCTTATTTGGACTGTCCATTTCATTTCATTTCAACATTTGCTCTATCCAGACTCCAAAGCCCCACAGTCAAAGAGAACGCAGAGAAGAGAAATAAAATATGCCGACACAAAAGGTTCAATTTCATATTTTGGGATTTTCTTTTGTTGTGCTAATTTCCATTTAGGTAAAAAATCTACCGTCTTCTTGTTTGACATTTGTTTTTCATGACCCCATTTTCCCCTTAAATTTGTCCACTTTCACAGTAAAAATTTGATGTGTTATGAGATTGGACAATGCGTTTTATTTTTAACCTCCACTTGTATGTTTTAGTTGACAGTTGATTGCGGAGATATACGTTGCTTGTTCAAAAGAAGTTATTATCAATTTCAAGTTTAAATATCATTTTCAATTTCAAATTCAAGTAAGTATTGGCTTTCTCTAACTTGATGATATAGGATTATTTATGAAATTAATTGTTGTCTATTATGATTTATGAATTTCATATTGTCTTTTGATGAAAAATGAAATATAGTATTTATTTATTTACGTATTGAAGGAAACTCTGCATTTTCGAGTGGAGAGCAAAATATAGTCGAAGCGAGTGTAAGTGTTCAAGATAAAATAGATGGCGGAGAGGAAACAAATCTTGGTGAAATCTCAAGTGGAAAGGGCCTTAATCAAGAAACTACTCTTAAGCGACTTGATGATAGTCATTGGGGCTCTCACTATAATTCTTTACTTAGCTTGATTCTCATGTTTTCTACTACAATTGATGTCATTGAGATGATTGCCACTAATGATATTAGTTGTGGAAAGAGAGGTGAAGCGCGTATTTTGTTGGGATCTATGTTGACATTTGATTTTGTATTCAGTCTGCATCTCAAGAAAAATATATTGAGTATTTCAAATGAATTGTCAAAATCATTACAAAGAAGAGATCAAGACATTGTTAATGCTATGAAATTAGTGAAAATATGCAAAGAACGACTCTAAACAACAAGGGATGATGAATGAGACTCATTTTTAAGAATAGATTCTTGTTTTTGTACAACATTGATGTTCCCAACATAGATGATACATTTATACCCCTATGTTGCTCACGGCGTAACAATCAAGGAATGACAAATCTATATCATTTTCTTGTGGATTTTTTCTCTGCTGTCATTCATCTGCAAATTAAAGAATTGAATGATCGTTTCTCCGAAGCAAATAGTGACTTACTCCTTTGTATTGCATGCTTATGTCTCGATAATTCATTTTCTACTTTCGACAAGGACAAGTTGATTCAATTGTGTGAGTTTTATCCCAATGATTTTAAACCAATAGAGATCTTGACATTTGAAGAGCAACTTCAAACATATATTATTGATATGCACACTCATAAAGATTTTAAAGGGTTACGAGGCCTAAATGATCTTGCGGAAAAGTTGATTGTGACAAAAAAAGTGAGATATACCCATTAGTTTACATGCTTGTAACATTGACATTAATTTTTCCAATTGCTACTACTAAAGTAGGAGAGTATTTTCTGCAATGAAGATTGTCAAAAATCGACTGCGTAATCGGATGAGAGATTAATGGTTAAGTGATAGTTTGGTTACATATATCGAGAACGATATATTGACAATATTAGTAATGATGTAATTATACGACGTTTTCTGAGTATGAAAACTCGTATGCTGCAATTGTAGTAGTGTATAGACTTATCTTCATTAATGATATGTTCTTTTAAAAAAAATGTATTTTAATTTTTGACCCCACAACATCAAACGTCTGGCTTTGTCCCTGATTGCAAGGCAGTAAATAAGGCGATAAATTGTTATCCTATGTGGACTTTTTCGCTGCTTATCAGCCACTTCCATTCGTTCTATGTGACGTAACCATGGGTCTAGAAAAAGTTCGAAATTTGGATGATCTTTGTAACGTATTATATTGTTTCATGAATAATGGTTGTCAAATCTCCATATATATATGTGGTTATGTAGAAGGGGCTGACCATGAATATTACTCAGTGGAGTCAAAATTTTACAAAACGTTTCTTGAAATGAAGCGCTAACACAAAATATTTATGATACCGATGTTTTTTTTTATCAATCGAGCTGCAAAAACATTTAGTTTGACAGCTCTGTTCACACTTTTCTCATAGCTTGGGGGCCACACTCAATACAAAATGGCAAAAATTTGACAGGCCCCCCAAGTTGTGAGGGGATGTAAGCTTGTACAGTCTACTCGTACTGTACAAGCAAATTTATTCTTTTTTTATTGCCAGGGGAAAACTCATTAAACATTTGATTTATCCTGGGAGCATTTAGTGGTGGAGCTAGGGATGTCAACGAGACTCTTTTTTTTCTCGAGCTGAGCCAAGCCACAGTCTGGCCAAAATGAAGCTTAGCTCAGGCTTCACTAAGTTGAGTCAGCTCACGATTTATTTATTTTGAAAATTCATGAATTTCTAAGTTCTTTTTAACAATGTAAATTTTGTGCAATTTAAACTAATTATAGATTAAATAAAAGATACAATTCTCTTCCTTTTTTGGATTTTGGGATCGGCCACAATTAACGTATGTAGAGTTAAAATTGTACACAAACAAAATATTTTTGCGTACAATTTTTTAAAACAAGCGAATTTAAAAATGAAATAATAAAATCAACAAATGAATCTAAAAACTCACAATATCCTATCATTGGATCTATTGCAACATTTTGATCATTATACTGTCTACTTTTTTCTTGAAGATGTAATTATGCATATTCTCAGTTCTTCAAGTATATTAGAAACCCCGAATATGTCATCTTTCAGTCTTGATTGTTCATCGACCAAAACCTTACCACCTAAGCTAAATGCAGTTTTCGATGCTACCGTAGACACCTAAGTTGTTAATAGATCACGTTCAATTTTTTACACAATTAGATATTATCTTTCATTACACCTCCACCATGATTAAAAAACAAAATTCATTTTCTTATAAGGTAATAAATACCATTGTAGGCTTTTGAATGCCAAAAGTTTTTCGTACCATATGTTGCCAATAATCCAAGGATTCTTCTCTTTGGCCTTTTAGTTTTGAATACTTATTCCTCTAAAGTATCCTTCAAGTCAATTGGAACATTTTCAAAATAATCATAGTAGAATGGATAACTCAAACTACTGTTAATTGGTTTATCTCCTCACCAGTAAAATTCATTTGTAGCTATTAAATTTTGAACACTTAAAAATTGATTTATTATAGCGAAAGAAACTGGATATGGAACAAAGAAGTTGAAGATTGAAAATTATTGAAGTAAATTGATAGTAAAAACAAGATTTTAACCTTCATATTTATAACCACACAACCCACAAAAAAAAAAAAAAAGCAAAATGAAATTTGTTCCCCTATTTGCATAACAAAACGTCTCTTTGCCTAGGTAATGAGACTTTGCAACTGCTTTTGTGGCCAAGGCAAAGAGATAGGTAATAGGGCCGTGCAATTGCTTTGTGGCCAAGGCTCGAGCCATGTTTCGAAATTTGGGCTCGATAGATTCGTCGGCTCTAGCTTTTTCTTGAGTCGATTCACGAGCCATTTGATTCAAAGGGCTCGTTTTCCATCCTTCGACAGAGGAGGAAATTATAGGAAATGACCGGATAACCCCCCCATTTACAAAATAACCTTTGACCCTTTTTTTAATTGAAAAAAAATCGAATTTAAAGCTTAAAATCCCAAAATACCCCTCGACTCTCATAAAACCGACTCTCACAAAACTGAAAAAGCCAAGGACGGTTTCCAGTTGGTCGGAGAACAACCTATCCATCGCCGGCGAACAATCTTGTTAAGGTAACCATTATTTGATTGGATTAATGTTTAGATTTTGGTGAAAGGTGTGAATGATTTATTTGTTGGAGATTTTTTCAATATATTTTTGTTTATATTAGTAAAATATGGTTTATATGATGTAAAAAAAGATTGGTTGTTTGAATTTGGAAGCTTTCCTCGCCGGAAATGATGATTTTCCGACGAGAAAGCATGAAGCCTTTTTGGCTTGAACCCGACTATTAGCAGTCGGGTTGACTCTAACCCGACTGTTAACAGTCGGCCCACTTTTTTTTGTGTGTTTTTTTTTGCCCAATTTTTTTCACATATAATTTAATAATTTAATTTTAAATAATTTTGATTATTTGGTTTTAATAAATAATAAATTATTTATTTTGTCAAATTTAAATAAAATTGTTACGACTAAATTTAAATAAAATTTTTACATTTAATTTTTGTTTTAATATTTATTTTTATNTCAATATATTTTTGTTTATATTAGTAAAATATGGTTTATATGATGTAAAAAAAGATTGGTTGTTTGAATTTGGAAGCTTTCCTTGCCGGAAATGATGATTTTCCGACGAAAAAGCATGAAGCCTTTTTGGCTTGAACCCGACTATTAGCAGTCGGGTTGACTCTAACCCGACTGTTAACAGTCGGCCCAAATTAGTGGGCCGATTGTCGGCCCACCTTTTTTTGTGTGTTTTTTTTTTGCCCAATTTTTTTCACATATAATTTAATAATTTAATTTTAAATAATTTTGATTATTTGGTTTTAATAAATAATAAATTATTTATTTTGTCAAATTTAAATAAAATTGTTACAACTAAATTTAAATAAAATTTTTACATTTAATTTTTGTTTTAATATTTATTTTTATTTTTTCATTTTTGGTAAATAATAATTTGAAATGATTGTTGGAAAATTTTTAATTGTAATTTGAAATAATTGTTGGAAATTTAATTTGAAATTTAATATTTATTTTTATATTTATTATTAGTTTTTGATAAATAATATTATTTTCATTCATCGAATTTAAATATTTTTTGAACTTGAATTGATTAAGAAAATTATGATAATTGGGAAAAATTGACATTATTGATAATAGGATAAAAAATTCACATTATTGATGATTTTAATTATTATGATTCTGCGTTTTGCGTATTGTAGTTACAATTTCCTTCGCTAAATTTTCTGTTATTATTATTATCATTTGTACAATGTTCTAATATTTTGAATTTGTACAGGATGGATTATCATCTTGATGCAGAGTTGAGACAGATGTCAAGCAAAGCTACGTGGAATAGTAGCTTTGATAGTTTCACAGCTGTGTTAGAGCTGCTTGATGATCAACATGCTGATATGCTGCGTCAGTCCTTCCTGTGGCCCTTCTACCCGTTAAGAGATCTGCAGTACTCGAGTCATATTATTGATGCACTTCTATGTTGATTGCTGAGTCCAATCGACAGCGATGCCCTCCACTTTGCAATCAGGGATAAAATCGCCAGTTTTTCGATGTTCAAATTTGCTCCGATCACGGGATTAAAGATTACGGGCGATGAAGCAGCAAGTGATGGGACTCAGAGAAGAAATAGGCTTCATAATGCTTACTTCGAGGGATAGGATACTGTGCTTCTTACACAGCTATTGGACGCAATCAAGAGGTGTGCTCAGATGTTAGAAAAATTGAATTTATGTCTGGTCTACATCCTTGAGAGCGTGGTGCGGTGTCACCATAAGAAGACTGCGATCGACCTCTTCCATCCAGAGATCGTTGACGACATCGATCGTTTCAACAACTATCCGTGGGGTCGGAGATGTTTTGAGGACACTGTACACGTCTTCACCAGATCGCACTCGAAGCCGAAGGGAGCCATACGTAAGTACGACACCTATGGATTGTCCCTGGCAGTGTAGGTAAATGGTTAACATAATGAATGTTAAAATTATTTTCATATCGAATTTATATATAACAATTGTATGTGTTGTAGATCTGGCCGTATAAGATCGTCCCCATATTGGGTGCCCACTTTGTGAGGTGAGGGGAGACATGCTGCCCTCGGATGCACCATTGGAGAGCATCTCGATCGGAGGGATGTCCCACTGGGAAACAATTATCTACTATTTTCGACAACCCTCAGGTGAGTATTATGCATTTGTAATTTATATTGTGCATGATTTAACATCTGATTGCATGATCTT